TATTTTACAAGATGCAAGAGTCTCGTTTGCGGTGGTTTGGGCATGTGCGTAGAAGATCGAGTGATGCACATGTTGGTGACTTGAGGGGTAGGGATGGACCCGGGCCGGGCCGGTTCCGGTTCGGGCCTAGGCCCGGACGGGCTTTTTTTTGGGGAAAGGAGAACTGGAACCGGACCGGGTAGGCAGCGGTTCTGGCCCGGGCCCGGGTCGGGCCGGTTCAATGTTATTTTTTTTTAATTTCTTTTGCTTTTCTAATTAACCCCCCACCCCACCCCCAACCCCCCCCCCCCCCCCCCAAAAAAAAACACCCAGCTCTACCCGGGAAAACAAAAAAACAATGAAAACGAAAGGCCCGGACTGGGCCTGGACCGGCCGGGCCGGTTCCACTTTTAGGAGGCCCAAGCCCGCCCCGTGTTTTAACCGGTTCAATTGGCCCGGACCGGCCCTAAGACCGGTTACCGGGCCGGGTACAAACAGTATCGGTCCGGGCCGGTTCCGGGTCGGTTCCGGGCCGGGCGGCCCGACCCGAGTCCACCCCTATTGAGGAGTGGGGAGAAGAGGCAGAGAGGAGAGGGATGGGAAGACCCAAACAGATTTGGATTAGAAGAATCAGAACTGATATGCGTCTTCTTGTGTTGGATGAGAGTATGGCTGTGGATAGGACACAGTGGAGGGCGCACATTCGTGTGGACGATTGATCTCTTCTCTTTTTTCCTCTCTTTTTCTTTTATCGTTTATCTTCTTTATGTTCTTATGTTATTTTTATGCTTTTTTATGCTCTTTAATCTTTTAATCTTTTATCTTTCTTAAGTTATTGTCATCCTATATCTATTTATCTTTATCTTACTTGTTTTTATCCTTTCTTCTTGTCTGTCTTCTCTTTTTTGTATCGATATCATGGATCGAATCATGTTAGTCGACCCCAAAATCTTTTGAAATTAAGACTTGGATTTTGTTGTTTACAAATTTAACATCAATAACACAATTTTTTCATAATATTTGTGTCGCTCCTCATGTCTCAATTTTAGTGAGACAAATGTTGTACAGAATTGTGATAGTATGATGTGATATAATGCACCAATATTTATCATATTGATGTATCTGTGAATCTAATACTCTTTCTTCCATAAAAATTCTTTGCAATTATCATTTTTGGAAAATTTTGTGCGACTAACATTCATTAACTTTTTTCTTATTCAACCACAAACTTACATTTTCACTTTATTCACACTATCTTTATAAGCATGTCAAGTAGAAGTGTGAAGTATTATTTGGGACGGGGGATTATGTATGATATTGATACTCATCTACGCTTATCAATTAACATTGGAAATTAGACACGATCATGTTAATGTGCTCTTACTTGATTGAGTTTTTTTATCATCAAATACAACCATTATATTAAAACCATTATCCCTAACTAATTATCACAATCAACCCTACAGGTAGACTCTGAGACGTCGGACGATCACCTCTGAAAGAGCAATACGAATCGCTAACCATCAAGCGGGTGTGACACTGCAATCACTGGCCATATAGATCCTTCTAATGGCATAATATCTAGTAGAATTTACAATCATTATTGTAAACCTAAAACTAAAGTCCTCGACAAAAAACGAAACACCGTAAACAAACATAACACGAAAATAAGACCATAAAAAATAGAATAACTGACAAATACTCTAAGCTTAATTATGATTGTTTTTTGAAATATCATCTTCCAAACCCCGACATCTCGATCAATCCAAGGAAGAGGTTTAGGAGGGGGACGGGTCACCGATCTATAATCTCCCTTGCTTAGCCCTTCGTCGCTCCCCGTCTGTTCATCACCCGTGCCGAGGGCCGAGATCAAATCTGTCAACACCCTGATCCGTGGCTAGATTGCCAATATCCCCACCTCTTGCTTGTTGCATCCCCTTCATGTACGATAGATCTGGATTATCACAAAAAGAATGGCCGAAATCAACCCCGCTCCTCGGCGCAAACCAATAGCGAACGAACTGCTCTAGCGGTAGCACCTGGCGGTGAACCCTAGAGAGAGGAAACTTGTTTCCGAAAACAACACCAGCACCAAAGAAGATCCGACCGAGGATGAGAGTGCACTTGCGATGCGCAAAAGCGCCGAGCGTGGGCCGATGATGAAGAGGATGGAGATCATCCATATGGTGGGGCGGCGCCCCAACCCCTCTTACGTGAATGAGTTGACTCGCGTACTAGAGATGGACGGCATAGATTAGATCATATGATAAGAGTGAAAAAACATGATAGATGTTGATAGAGTATATGGGCCTGGACCCCATGGCCCACATACACGATGGCCCAAGAGACACCAGCGAGGCACCCGCATCGGCCGAAGGCGTGCGACGTCCAAGAGAGAAGGCATCACCCGGATTCTTTGGGTGAAGCCCAGAATCCGCATCGTCCATGGATCGCATCGTCCATGGATCGCATCGTCCATGGATCGCATCGTCCCAGAATCCGCATCGTCCATGGATCGCATCGTCCATGGACCGCATCGTCCGGACTTCGTCCAGACGGAATGTATTTTCCTATTTTATGTACTAACTGTTGTACTCAGCCCATTAGTGGCCTTATTTCGCCCAAAGAAGGCATGAATATTGTAATGGGCCTCCTAAGCCCAAGGCTAGGGGCCCAAATCCACATTTTTACCTATAAATAGACCCCAAGGGGCTAATTATGGGGGGTCCCAAGTTGAGAAATATAATTACTCACTTTCTCTCTCTAGCTCACTTCTCTCTAGGATTAATACTCTATCAAATGTATATGGGTAAGCTACTTTAAAGAACAATTGATCAAGTATTACATTAAAATTTATAAAGGATTTGAGCATAGAAGCTCAGAACTATCCAAGTAGATGAGAGTAGGGATGGACCGGTCCCGGGTCGGGTCCAGGTCGGGCTTAGGGCGGGCCCGGGTCTGGGAAATAAAGGCCCAATACCGGCGCAGCTATGTTCCGGGATCGGACCGGGCCCGGGTTGGGTCAGGTACTATATTTTTTATTTTTATTTTTGCTTATTAATTCTAACCCCCTCCCCCTCCCCCACCCCTCACCCCAAACACCCCCAAACCACCCAGTCCAACTCGCCTCTTACCCAAACCAGTCGAAAAAACCCAACGAAAAAAAATTGGGCCCAAACCCGGACCGGTCGGGCCGATTATTCCAAGGGAGCTGCAGCCCGTCCCCAAAACACCCCCGGGTCGGGTCATAGGCCCGGTCCCTGTCAACCGGGCCGGTCCCGCACAGTGGTGGTCCGGGTCCCGGGCCAGACCGGTCCCGGGCCACCCCTAGATGAGAGGGTAACTTGTAAACACTTCTACCTATTCAACTTTGTTCTAAAAATTAAGAAATTGCTCCAAATAAAACTAATACATGGGAAAAGTGTACAAATAGAAGTAGTTGTGTTTTATTCTGACAACAAAACTTATTTGATCCTATTAAAAGTATAAAAATTTGACGATATATGTTATTTTGGAAAGAATTTAATGATGATTATATTTGTACACTATTGATATTTTAGTCTTTAGGAATTTTCTGCATGAATTAATTAAGTACTCTATAAGAAATACTTAACCATTCGACAATTAGCAAATGCGTTGAAAAAGAGCTCCATAAACACCTGCCTAATTAAAGGCTCAGTAAGGGATTGAGAACTAAAAATAAGCATAATGTTTGTATGAAAGACATTAACTATAGTAAATTTAATACATTTTCTTTTGCGTGTAATCTAATCTAAGAAACATATAATTAGAAGCTAAATATTATCTTCCCAATATGAGGAGTGATTGTAATTTGTAAACTTCGAAAATTTCAATTAAGAAATTGGTCTATATAAGACTAAAACTTAGTCAAATATGGAGTAACTAAATATAAGGATCTCTATTCTGTAGGCATGGCCTCGGTTCGGGCCGCCCGACCCGCTACTGTGCAGGCCCGGCCCGGCCCGGTTTTCCGGGTCCGGGTCCGGTTCGGGCCGGAGGCCCGGGGGTGGGGCGGTTCCGGGCTCGGTTCATGGTTTTGACGGCCCGGCCCGGCCGGTTCGGGTCCGGGCCAAATCTATTTTTTTTATTTTTTTTCATTTTTTTGGGCTGTTGGGCTTGGGCTATCTGTTTAGGCCGGTTTGGGGGGGTTTGGGGGGGTGGGGGGGGAGAAAGGAAAAAAATAAATTAAACCGGGTGGCCCGACCGGCCCGGTCCGGCCCGGAACCGGACCCAGGACCGCCCTACCCCGGTTCGGACTCGGGCCTGCTATTACTGAACCGAGGCCCGGCCGGGCCTAGGCCCGAGGCCCGAACCGGCCCGGTTCAGTCCACCACTGCTATTCTGATCTATTTCGGTTTTACAAATGATAACCTCATATTAAGAGTTTTTTATATTTGTGTAGCATTTAGCATATTACAATACGTAGTATGCCTTTTCTCTCTCATACGCCTTTAGTTGGGATAACATTTTTTTACATTGGTTTCTTCTGTGACATTTTCAGTGTTGTCGAGGTGCAAATTTTTAGTGATATTTTTCAATAGGTCAATATGCATTCCAATAAAATGCTCATCAAGATGATGCATTTATGTTACGGTCAAGATAACAATACTTTTTTTGCAAACTTGCAATGGGAAATTTCTTCCTTAATCCAAATGAATTATGTTCTTAGCATTTATCAGACATCAGTACAAGCTCAAAAATCTACAACGAACAAATAGATAACAGTATTGATTAATGATACAATTTGACTTGATGATGGTAAGTTATCTCGATTATGATATAGTGGCTTAATAGTAAAAATAATAATGTCAACATGTAATGATATTATTAATTGAGAATGACACTACTCATTAAGTCAGATATTCATAGTTTTTTAAATAATACTCCGTAGGATTTTTATCTTCACTCACTTTTACTTTAATTTTATAAGGTGAAACAGAAAAATCATAATCGAATTTTTACAAATATTTAAAACAATTTCTTTTCTATTATTCTTTTGCAATATATTTAGGCTTTGTGAACCTCAACAACTTTCTTTATGAGAAGGGTTACACAGTTTGTAAATATAGTTGAAAAAATGTAAACGATATGGTTAGGTTATTAACTATCTGCTGACAAATTCACTTCGTTTGTTATGGATCTATGTATATATATCTTATAAAATTGAATATATATATGTACATAACAATATACAAAGGTTATCACAGATTCACAATAATAAATTAAATGTCAACCGTCAGATTGCTCAGCTGGACCCATCCATAACCGCACCGATCGCGCAATTTCTCTATTGTGGAAGAAGCTGTCTTGACCAGAGGCCGGATTCCAGCCATCTCCTTCTCCACTTGCAGCTTTATCTTAGCATCAACCTGCATCATCCCCTCATTAATCATCATGCATGTTCATTCATAATAATAAAAATCTAGGGTGTGTTTGGTTCCCAAAAAAAACTCAGGGAAAGAAAGGATGACAGAAATGCCAAGAAAACGTTATTTTCTTTTGGTTTAGTTTTGCCGTGGAAAATAGACACGGAAAAAGAGACATGATTAATGTTTTATTATTGATTAGAAATAAAAGAAATGAGTTTGAACCAACATCAAATATAAATTTATTTACTTTGAGTTTTTTCATTTTTGCGTAAACTTTCTTTCTTTCCAATTTCCCTCTATTTTCTTACCAATCTCTTTCCACGGTAACTTTCAATTCCCAAAATGGTCTCCTGATAAATCCCCAAAAAGTATAAATGCAAAAATGAGAGTCAACCAGAGAAGAAATGATTAAACACCTTATTGATGCAACGTTCGGTGTCCAAAATGTGGCAGAAATACGAAAGCTGTCTGTACAGATCCCTTTCTGTATACTGCTCAATGCAATTTTAAAACAAATAAACCTCAGGTATGGAGGAAAATATTATAAAATAAAATAAAAACAGGACAAACTTGGGTTTTGGAGGGTCCAAGAATACCTTCCTTTGGAGATGTCCTTCGCAGCGAGGGTAGTTTGGACAAACAGTTCCTCGCTCGGAGTCGCCAATTACACGTAGGTTCAGGCTGCGGCTAGTATAGTTGCATGTTTCATCATCACACTGATATTTGTATTTCACATGTATGATTGATACCTTAGTTAGTTCATGTTCCCTTTTTTTAAAAAAATATAAATGTTTAGAAATATCTTAAGGGTTGTAACAGCAGATGCGTCATACCAGCATCAGTCCTCTGTAGTATGTTGAAACAAATCCCTCAGCTTGCCTCTTCACCTACCATCACATATACACAGTACACACTCTGTTTTCTCAGCATGTGTCAATTTCAATTACGGTTGGGCACATAATAAGCTAGCTTATACGTTAACTAGTAGGTTTGTTCAGAGGAAGTTTCTTTACATAAGCTCTGTTTCGGTTGGGATACGTATTTGATAAGATCCAGCTGACTTCATAAGCTTCCTTTAGGCTATGCTTGGCAAAATAAGCTGACAAGGTAGTTTTGAAATATGGAATGATAAAAAGGAAATTTTTTAAAAAAATGAGGCTAGAATAGGAACAGTATAAACACTCATTAATTTATTTGAATGGCTACAACTATAAGTGTATCAAGTAAAGCCGACTTTATTCAACAAGCTCCCCAAACCAAATGGGGGGTATTTGAAAAGCTTTTCTTAGAAGCTAATAGCTAGATTATAAGCTAGTTATGGCGCCCTAAGATAGCATTGGTAGAATGGTAGATTTTTTAAAATTATAGTTTAACAAAGAATACTTTAAACACATCATTAGATGTTATTTTAAATTTTGAAGCATGCTGCAACTTTTCTCAAACACTAAGAATAGACTCGGTCATGCCAACTTTTCTCAGTAGACTAGTCGAGCACATGTCAGTTCCTACTTCCAAGGACTTTTATGGGGGAAAGGAGGTAAAAGAGAGAGAGGGAGCTCTGGGAACATTAAAAGAAATTTTACCTGGTTTGCTAATAAAGAAGGTGACAGTTTGCCCGTACCGGACTCCTCTGGACATTTGGGACACTGTAATTTGTGCCAAAACTCAACAGCAGGCTTTTCTGATTGTAAGTCTGCTGGCTTCTGACTTATGGACGAACATATGGAATTGAATATGGACGGGCATTCAATGGAAGCAGAGCACCCAGGGCACATCAAGACTAGTGGTTCACACCCTTGATATCTTCAAGTTTTGATCATATAGAAACATGTTACATTATAGAAAATATCTTCGTACATAATATAAATAATCCTCTTTCTTCATGTACAATACCAGACGAGTGTCAATACTTCGCACAAAATAATTTTATTACCTTTCCTCGTCATTGACTGCACATAAGAGTGAACTTGAAGGATCATCACTGACAGTGTTGCTTGATTTGTTTTGGAACTGAAAAAGAGTACCATGTTTTGTTATACGTGAAAAACAAAATATAAAGAAAACCAAGATCTGAGGAACCGATCCAGCTCAGCTAGTCACCAACTCACTCTCTCATACGGGAGGTCTCGGGTTCAAAACTCCATGGAGGGAGCTTCAACCTATTTACCCCCTACCCCGTATACCAATGGTTTCGGGAAAAAATATATTTACCCTGGATGCGTCAAGACCCAAGCAATCAGCCAAACGTGCAGGACTGGTTCCCTGAACAGATGCACAAAGTCGTGCTACCACAGGATGTATCTGTAATAAATTTAAGTGTCAACTAAAATATTCAAAATAAATTAGCAAAATTCCCCTTTTGCTGCCACAACTATTAGGTCACAGTTTTACGTTCTTTCCACTTTCAGTATTTTTTATTGATCACTTTAACAGGGAAATATATTACACTAATTGGCCATTAGGTGACCAGAAGAACCGATAGTGGCAAATGATTCATATTTGTGAATCAAGTGGCAAAAAGCTGTCATGAACTTAAAGTGGAAATAGCGAATGTTAGCAGCCAAAGGTTAAATGGACCCAATACCATTAGATGAACAATAAAATATTTGTAAAAGAAAAAATGGAAACGGCTAATTCAATATAGAGCAATATACCTGTTGTGCAAGGTAATAATCTATGTCAATTATCCATTTTTCATTGTCATTCTTCAGCTCATCGGGATGTCTTGCCCGCTGAGCAATCCCCACAGAGCTACTTGTAGGATTTCCCTATTCATATAGAGCAGAAGCCAATATTCAAGATCTGTAGCTCAACAATGTAGGAAAGAGTGACCGCAATAAGTCATGGCAGACCTGTTCACAGCAGATGATATATGGCACAGTATCACCAGCAGAACAGCCAGTAATGTAACCACTTTTCTTCAACCTAAGAGCAACCTACAGATATCATAACAGGAAGGAAGAATGTAAATAAAATACAAGTAGAGCTAAATGGTGAAAAAATCTTGGGAGGTCTTAAAGCGTAAGCATTTTGAGATGATTATACTATCCAGATGATAAATGCATGCAAGCTTTCATAGACTTACTTCAACATGAGGTTGATTCTTTGAATCAGGGTAGGCTTCAGGAGGTTTCGTTAATGATTTGGTTATGACATACTTTTCAAGTTCCACGTGTCCATTCCTCATATCCTCCTGAACCTGAAACTCAAATAATTTTTTATCAATTATATATGAAATAATTATTAGAGTTGGTTAAGTGACTCATTAACCATATGATATATAAAGGGCATATGATGGAGGAAGGAGCAAAATCAAACGCTCGTCATTGACACCGCATTCAGACTCTTGACTGTTGGAAACAATACTTGTGTGTTTCGAGCTGATTCTGTTCCTCCAATGAGCAATTAGATGGGGTAACCAAGGAAAAAATATATAATGATTATGTTCCATCATGTTCCTCCGGTCATGATGATTAAGCTTCGAGAGTTTAGAATTATCATCTATGTGATGTGTCTGTTTTGTGTTTGAATTCTCATTTTGAGTTATCGTGTTTGATTATGTGATCATATATGTGTTTGTGTTTGACACTTTTTGGACTTTTATTATGCATATCTATAGTTTATTCCTAGTTTAACTATTTTAAGTTTTAGGATGTTTTTATTGGGACTGTTTTGAGTCACAGACCAGACTTGGGCAGTTATAAATACACAGACATCAATCAGAAAAGACCAGACCAGTTCAGACTAGACCAGATCAAACCAGAAAATTTCAGTCCAATTAAAAACATCCTTAATACCCGAACTAGCCATTTTAAACCTTGCTCCCACCCACCCAACTATATACTTAAATTATTGGCCAATTTAATCTTTTTATCTTTCCTATGATATGTGTTCAAATTACTTTATAAAATTAGCTGCCTAAAAAATTGTGCAGTGTACATTAATTTACTTTAATTCACTATATATAAAATACACAAAACAAATTAAAAATTGAGCACACCATAGAGTATTTAATATGAGCTGTTTCCTAATAACGTATTAGTCTACAGTATCATTCTTAATGATTTGTAAAACAATAGGTTTGCAAAACTTTTAGGAGATACTCTAATGATTCTATATTTCATAAAACAGAAGCTTTTCACACTGTATGGAAATTCTAGTTCATATTCTGTTTCTAAAAAAGAATTAGAATCAAAGTCAAAGACATACTTAGACCAAGCGATGCCAAATCTCAGCCTCTTATTTACAGTTTCAAACACCACATTTTTTATTTTGATATTTGATTTAATGTAGAATTTTCCACCATTTGCAATGGAGCCAAAGATTCACTATTGTTTGGCTTGGGAATCATAGAATAAAGCAAAATGGTTCACTAAACTGTCTAAGCTTCTTTGTTATGAAGCAACAGCCAGTTCATGCAATTTTCAACGCGATCTTCACTATGGGTCATCCGGAAACAGTCGGTATGTGCTTTAGTACAGGGGTAAGGCTGCGTACATCCGACCCTCCTTACCCCCACCATAGGTGAGAGCCTTTGTGGCACTGGGGTAATGATGATGATGGTTAAATTTAATGTAGAATATTACCTTTACTAAGGCATTATGAATTGATTCAACAACATCCTCACAAGATCTGCAAGTGGTAAACCAATTATTTGTATTTTGTTGCGACTTTCAGCTAAAAGACTATTTTAGAAGTTCGTTAAGATATGTACCCTCCTGATAGTATTTGACTGAGGCAGAAATCTCCCAATTCCTTTGATATCAAGCTCCAGTCACGACGAACCATATCAAGACCTTTCTTTTCAATGACCTGGAGGGTATACCCATATAGTGGTAAGCAAGTTGTAAAGAATTCCAGCAAGCACAAGTAATGCACAAGGCACTCCCTCAGTCTCTCAATAAACTTCACCTTTGCTTGTTGCACAAGGTTTAAGGGAATGGATTTTTATGGTTGATATATATTTATAAAAGAACTGAAAGATATCAACCACACATTCATTGCTTTTAGGGGAAAGGTGAACTTTATTAAGGAAAGGAGGGAGTAATATACAATTGCTACCTCATAAGGCTTCCCATCCTTGAATTGAACTTTTACAGCAGCGTATTTCTTTTTCTTGAGGAGCAGCATTCTTTTGTACAAGCCATCAAGATCAATTTCCAGACATTTATATTTCTTGTTAACCTATGAAAGAAAATTTACCAACATGGAACACAAATATTCAGGGAAAGTTTAGAGAAAAATCCCAGAATGATACCAAAAAAATAAAATAAAACCTCAATAGCTTATAACCAAAACAGTACATGCCTGATCGATAACTTTCTTTGCCATGGATTTTGCTTTGGAAATATCATCAAGCCCACTATAAATCATGATTGAATCAGTATCACCATAAATAACCTGAAATCGTTTGAAAAAACAAGAGGAAAATGACACTCACGTAATAATGCTAAATTGCTTATAGAATTTAAACTAATAAAGAAACATCACAAACTTAAATGCTACCTCTAAGTTGAGTATGTTCTGAACAAGGTCCACTGTACTCTGCAATATCTCTCTTCCCTTCACGAAAGCAGGGGTAAATCAACCTCAGACATCAATAATCTAAGTGTTGCAAGATATAATATTGCCAATGAAATGTATTTCTTGCCTGTTGTGTTATAAGCTCTGCTAGAGGCTTAGCATAAAATCTAGAATTTTGGAATCCCAGACAACCATACATGCTGCATCAAAAATGGTTCAAGTCAGAGAGAGTACTGACCCTCCAGAACATTTATGATTGCAAGTAAAACAAGCATTAAACAAAGAAAGTAAACTTAAAATATACAGTTGTATTTGGTCAGTTAAATCTTGCATTGAGTTAGGAATATGAGATAAGACTTGAAAGTTGCGGCCTCAAACTTGTAGAGGTTTAACTAAAAAGAAATGATATAGTTTACAGTATTGTTAAGCTATACACTTCAATCCCAAATCATTACCATACTGCAAAAGACTGTTTGTTTTGGAATCTCTGTGTAAAATCTTGAGTTCAAATCAGACTTAGAGCTCAGAGTGTTAAAGACAATAGAAAAATACCTGTTTGCGGTCAACTTGAGTGCTTGTTGCTGTATGTCCAACCGCTGGGCCTGAAGACCCGATGCTCCTTTTAGAGACTTCTTTGCCTCTTGTCTCCTCCCAACCAAGTACTTAAGTAACTATAATACATGAACAGAACTAAAAAATGAACAAACTACATAATACAATCAGGGGAACTAAATACTATACTCAAAACAAAGTAGTACAGGCTATTTTAGTAATGGGACTGAGGAGTAGGAGAAGAGAAATCAAGCTCTATGCCTCTATGGCTCTATCCAAGTCTAACAGGATATAGATGTGACAAGAAATGACTGAATTCCTGATATATTATCTAATGAGACTACAGTGCTGCACCTAAGTGATAACTGAAATCCACCTGATTTCTTCAGCATGGTACTTTCATATCTTACTCCCTACTCAAACTCCATTTCGTAAGTAATAACACCGACAAAGCATGTATACCTTTGGCAGGACTCCAGTTTCTTTACTAGATGGTAAAGAAGGAGGCAATCCATCTTGAGATCTTTCAACAGTGGTGAAACATATATTGTATTCCTGAAAAGGGGAAGAAGAGGGAGAGTTCTTATAACACTTTTTAAAGAGGAATTGGAGATTTAGCTGTAGACAACATATCAGAAGAAAAGAAATTAGGGATAAAAAAATAAATAAATGGAATAATTTGTGCAATGGTAAATGCATGTTACCCGAATAATAGATGGGTAGAGACTGTTGAAATCCAACAACAGTATGTACTTGTCATATAGCCCTCGTTTTGGCTCCAAAACCAAACCTCCAGAATAGGCAGGCCCCTTTCTGGTTTTTCCATTCTCAATTTCTGAGAGCTCATTTCCAAAACTCGAGTCATCAAGATTGATTACATCACTTTCTTTTCCATCATCGCCATGGTTTAGTTTACGCTTTGTCAGCTTTGATTCCCTTGTTTTAGAAGATAGTTTGTCTGGTACTATGAATTTCTTACTATGGAATTCGTGCAGCAATAGATACTCCACTCTTTGGGCCCTAGCACCCTGAAAGTCATAAATAATAGGTCATTTACATGGTTGATATAATAGAGGAGATTTAGATGAAAGAATGATAAAATGGTTCACCTGGAGAGTTTTACACCATAAATTACCACTAATGTTAGTCAGCTGAAGAGTGAGGGGAAGAACACTCAAATGAAACATGAGTTCCATTGACAGCCACGCATCTGTCTCTCCATATTCAATCTGCAAAAATCACAACAATGTAAGACAATGGAACTCTCAGTGTCTGAGCAGAAAGATGAAAAAAGGTTTCCAACATTTGATGAGAAACTTGACCATTTTGAATTGTAAACATCACTCAAGACCCTGTGGCATGCTACTGGATAACTATAATACGTCGATTAAAAGCTTTTTTAAAGCTATTTTTGTGTAATATATCAAATTGCCAACAATAATAGGATCCATAACCTTGTTAAAATCTACTAGCAGGTTCTTAGTAATGGGGCAACATTTAAAGTCAGCCTTCAAAATATACAATCAAGAAATGACAGGACACTCAGTTGTCTCTCTTAATAGTGCAAACAAACATAATCTGTGATGTTAATGCAGAAAGGCAACCATATATGTAAAAGAGAAAAGAGAACCCACTAGTTTCATAAGAGAGTCAGAAGCCTGAAACATTTGCGGAATATCATGTGGAGATATCTCCTTACGATCCTTATTGAGCAGTGTCTTTGTGAGGTTTGTCAAGGAATAGCTAACCTGAAAGAATGCAATGCATACTAGTTACATTTAATAAAAAATGAAAACATAACATGTAGGGAATGTAGCAAATAAATTAGTTTCTAGAAATCCTACCTCTCTTAATAAATCACGAGAGCATAAAAAGGTATCACACAGGAGGCGCCCAGCAATACAAGACATGATCCCTAGACTTGCTCCTGAACCAAATACATTACTTCCTTTAGTAAGCTTAGGCATGGCAGAACGCTTAAGACGGCCAATTTTAGACCACATATTGCTTGGGACTCTGGATGCCTGCATGATAAAGTAAGAAACTTTGAACAACCTAGGATAAATAACATGTTCCCTTACAGAACCTATGACAATAGATACAGGTAAAAAGATGTTAACAACTGTATCAGTTTGATAATGAGGTAATGCCCAGTTTTTAGGAAATATTAAAGGTGACACATCATATCAATCTAGGGAAAAAATACACCACTTCCCAGTGAGTATCATTTAACAAACAAATATTACAATACTTCTTGCAAACACACATCCATATTCATACCAGACTACCAGTGATGAGTGATCAACATGTATAAGAGTTTGATCATATTAGGCATTAACAAACCTGAACTCTGTGAAGCAGAACATCCAGATCAAAACCAGATATATTGTGCCCAACAAGCACATCACTATCCAACTTGTGTAACTCAATCATCAACCGATTCAACAAAGCTCTTTCACTGGTATTTCAAATAGAATTCATGTTTAAGAGTTAAAATACAACAAAAGAAAAGGTTAGCATGATTGTGGAACCAGACATATAGACTATGAAAATTGATATTATAATTAAGGCAGACTTGCCTTCCTTCGAAACTAATAACATTAGATCCAGCTTTTGCATTTCTATCAGCAGCTTCTTTAGTAAATCCCATTGGATATATGCTTCCCTCAAGCTTTCGCACCACAGTAAAATGTGAAAGCATCCCAGGTTTTGTTAATTCAGATATTAAAGTTGGTGCATCAATCTGAAAGAGATACAAAAAAACATTCAGTAGCCTTCATCAATTATCAGCTTGATTCAGCAATAATCAGTTTGATTCTGGACATGAGGCGTTTCAGTAAACAGCAAAAGTGGTTAGATGTGCGTACTAGCAGAACTATACAAACAATAAGTGGTGAGAAGAAAAGTCATGTAGCTAGTTTGGTTTATCATAATCAGAAGAATCGTGTTAGCACACAAAGTAGATTTTACCTTCGCCTTGTGACAACAAACGACAGATGCGGAGACAATCTCGTTGACATTTTGTTTTTCATTGATAATAGTCTTCAAATTTATTGCCGTTACAACCACAGGAGGAATCTCTGGGATGTTCTTTTTCAAAACAAGAATTTCCTTTGGGTTATCCACAGTGACTTCAAATTTGCACCAGCTAACCTGTGTGGATTGAAAAACCAATATTCACTAACATAGCCCATGTGAACTACAATGCAATGACATATGTGGAGGATAAGCATCTCTAGCCTCACACGTTGAGATGTTTGACAGCTAGTAGACTTTGAAATTGATAACCAGCAGGGCCCTTTGATTTTCCTCTTTACAAGAAAGAGCTCAAGTGCACTGCAAATAGTGCACATAGATTGGAGTTAATTTAGATTGGGCGATAATATAGAGCAGCACATGACAGTAGAAACATATGTAGAGCATTCATTGGCATGCATTCCTAACCTAGATAAAGATAAAGAACCATAATAAGAAATTTGAAATTCAATGGTAAAAATTTCTAGCATACTTTACATAAATTTCCTAATCATGTTTGATGATTTGCATGCCAGTTTTGCAATATCAATCATATAATGTGATAGGGACCCGGGTTACTTAGTGCTAATAATAAGAATTGTAAGGGTAGGAATAGGGCTGAGAGAGGAATAAGAAGCTAGGCAGAAAATTGGGAACAGGCTGGGAATTGGGTGCGCGAGACTACTCAATTGTCACAATTGTATCCGTTCTTCTCTTTCTTCCTGTCTAGTGTCTACATTGTGATCCATTTAGGGTTCTGAAATCTTCATCAATAATGTACTAATTTTCTATTGCGTTGTTGAGTTCCCTATCATAATGAACATGCCAACAGAGTTTATCTCCACTCATCATTGCCTCATGACATTCCATGCATGTGGAAATAATGTGATGAGGTTTTAGAATTTTCATTGTATCATACCTTCTTAAGAAGTCTCCGAAGTGAAGGGCATCCCATGGCAACCATTGCAACTATGTTTTCACACAAATTTATAGAGCTATGTACGTTTTACAAATAATTAGCGGTATATGTTTAATGTTAATTACCCCAGCTAGGTGTTGCTAAAGTGGTGATAATGATGATGCCTTAACACACAAATCCAAATATTAAATTTGGGTGCAAGGAGATAAAAAAAAATAAAGAATTATACAAGAGTTTCGATCTTGGGCACTCCACACAAATATACCTGCTATGGGTGCCAAGTAAAGCACAAAAATGCTCTCCCTTGAGATCTGGTGGAAGTGGTGGGTCCTGGAAAGAGAAGTTCAAGGTCATAAGGTGAAGTTGGTTTTGTTGATGCCAAGTAATATTCTGAGTATGTGTGTGTGTGTGTTTATAATATATATACTAATATACCTTGAATGGATAGTTAATCTTAAGGACATAATTCTCGCCAAGAGGCACATCACACCTTTCAAATGCATAATTCCTCTGTAAAGTTATAGTAGACAGAGTAAATAGCCAGCAAAACAATATTATACAAAATAGTGATATTGTAATTGTCACATATTATATTCATACTGAAATTTCCCTAAATAGAAGTAAAAACAATGGCAAATTCCAAAATAAGAGTTACCGGAGTATATGTTTTTCGTCCCTAAAGGGAATAATCATTGCCATATCAATGTGTGGTAATACCAAAACATGGCAGTATGACTTCAGACAAATCAACTCTTATAGTCCTATTAAGTGGGAAAAAAAACATAATAGTACTATTTTGGAATTTTACATTGTTTCCACTCCAATTTTTTTAGGAAATCTCCCTAATTCATATGCTCCAAAATAAAATCCTCAAACCTTGACAGGCGCCATGCTAAAACTTGAGACATTATGTTCCACCAACTGATTTGTCAATTCAGCTTTTAGTGCTGATGCCATCTCCTAATAGTGAAGAGCAAAACAAATTATAATGTATGCAAAATAACAGAATATGAACAATGAAAAGTGTGGCCTTTAAGGTAACTACATGCAGCTGGCTGTGAAAAGCAGCAGCAGAAATTTGAGACTCTTTGAGATCTTTCTCTAGCTTCAAGGTTGCATCTTTAAGAAATAGACTACTACTTGGGATTGCATAAACACATCTTTGCATGTTCCTTACAATCACACAGCAGCTATGATATGTACCTCCAACTTTTACCTGAATAACAATAAAGAGTTTAGATGTCAGCTGGCAAGAGCATAAGTTTGGTTGACAAATACCAGCATAGACTATTCAGTTAGAGATCCATCAATTATTCAGGAGAGAAACCACCAGAAAAATGAACTGGCTTTTAAAGAAAATGGGAACAGAAATAAAGTATATATGCAGTTGCAAGATATACTAAGAAAACGGAATCAAAGAATGAACTGAAAATACCTTCCCGAATAGAAACAGATTTCCTGAATTGGCTCCATAAAGTTCCTCATGGGCATCAATTATGAAGAAAGGAAATGATCCATCAGACCCCAGGTCCAAGTCTGAATTTTCTTCAGCATTATTTAAGCTAGAGCACTTTCCAGCACCGCTCATTGCTTGCCACTCTACAGTTGCACTTAAAGCTGAATCATTTTCAGCTTTAATTTTAGCATTTAGTGTAAATACCTTACAGTCCGCCACTGGATCTACCTTCACATCAGCTCCACTTGGCACATTCTCAGTATACTCAATTCCTTTCATTGAGTTATCACTTATTTCTGCCACTTCCTTCTCCTTCACGTCCTCATCCAAAACCAATACCCGCTCAAGTTTCTCAGGCGGGTCATTTTTGTTAATCAAATGGCTGTCAGGCAGAGCAGGCGACATAGATTTACCAATTATAGTGTTTTCTACAAATGGCTTAGCTTTGCTGGCTTCATCATTTACAGACAAATTGACACTCTCTTGAATAGGCGTCTCGTTTTTTATGGGCTTATACTTTGAACTAATCTGAGGTGAACCTGCCAAATTCGAAGATAAATTTGCGCTTCCCCTTCGTCTCCTTTCTCTATCAGCTTCGTCAGGAGCAAATTCAGCTATTACCTCATCCACAATGCTATCACATGACAAATTCTTCAATGAATCGTCTCTACTTTTCTTAAACACTGAAGAAGTGAACATCTTGGAAATCCGCTGCTTACCCATCAATGCTGCTGCAGCTGACAGTGCGGCAGATGGCTTCTTAGTAACTTGCTCCTTCTTCTCCGATGCCTTCTTCTTCTTCGGCCTTTCAGCCTCACCTCCTGAATCATCAGAAGAGTGGGGGAGCCCAGCAATTGACCAGTCCTCTTCTTGACCTTCATCTCCGTAACCCAGACCATTGTCATCTATGATAAACCCTCGAACCTCTTCGCTCCTCTTGGCAACTAGAGCTTTATACTCGTCATCGTCAACTACGTCGTAAATCGGATCCTCCATCTTGATCTGGTAGGCGCTAGGCTCTCTGGAGAGCCGTTCACCGCTTCGGAAAGCTCTAATACGCTCCAGCGCACTAGCCCTATCCGCCACACCGGTTCGTCGGCTCCTCCGCCGTCCGGCAACAGTTGCAGGCTCGTCCGACATTCTCTTCCTATCTATCCCTTCTCTCTCCTTACGCTCTGCCGCGACTTTTCCACTGACACAATCGCAGAAGCTCAATATCCCGGTCCGAGTTGCGGGAATGTGGAAATTGATGGCACAGGTACAAGGGCGGGAAGAATTATTTTCGCGCCAAATAATGCAGCCCTATCTTCGGTGTCGTATTTCAAAATACTGAAATTAGTATTGGGCTGAATTACATTGCGCCTTTATTTGGGGCTGACTCGTGCCTCATTAAAGGGAGATTCTATTGGCAGTTCCCGTTTTGCTATCCACAGCCCCCTAAATTGTAAAAAGCCTAAGTTACCCTTACATCTATGAACGTAACTTATTGAAATCCTTTGCACTTGTTCGAATCTAATCCTCGTCACAACAGAGAAGATCGCCTAGGATCATTGACCAAGCTCTGTGAGAAAAAGAACATCGATGACGGATGATTGCATCATGAACGTAGGTGGCTGTGGCGGTGGTGGTGCAATTGTTGTTGCTGCCTTATCCGCTTGTGGTGCCGCTGCTGCTCCGGCCGGTGAAGAGAAGAAGAATGCCATTGAGGAACAAAGTGAAGAGAAATATTAAAATTACTAAACTAAAATTTCTTTGAAATGTTTGCTTTTGATTTGCAGTCAGTTTATCATATTCGTATGGAGAATTTATGAACCCCATCATCATGGAAATATCTATTAAATCTAATTGAATATGTATTTCTAATGCCTAAAGTATATAGAAGGCCTTTGAGATCTATTCTTAAGTTTGCACTCTGAGATGGTGATTTGCTCCTACTTCGCAGTCTCATGAGGGATGAAGCTTAATTAACCACAGATGGATGGCAATCTGACTTGGGATGGCAGGGCTCGAAGGTGAGTCATCGTTAGCCGCAGCCCGTAGGTGAGCCCTCGTTCCCAATCTTGAGGCACCTCATCTACATCTCAGCCTTCGCCGTCGTTGTCGGTCCTGTCTGGCGACTTACTTTTCTCAGCAGAGAGATAGAGTGCAGACTGCTCTCTGCCGGTAGAAGCCATGTTAACAGACTATGCTAATTTATTCTTTAAAGGATATAATAATTGGAATAAACAAATAATCATGGCTGTATTTAGTAAATGAGTGGTTGTGGTTAGAATTCCCCCTCATTAAATGCAACTGTATCATCTTCATAAATAAAAATGTTCGATGTATATCTTTTTTTGTACATCATTCGCAGTGGCGGATCTACCAAGTTAGTTTTAGGTGTTCAAATTTATTTTTCAAATTTTAGGTGTTCAGATTTATTTATAAAAAAATTCCAGAAAATTTATCTATGTATTCTTTTACAAAAAAAAAATCTTTGGGTGTTCACATGAACTCTTTTGAACCCATATAGGTCCGCCCCTGATCATTCGCACATTTTGTTTATCTATATAGACATACAATTCATCTAGAAAATACTTATACGTATGCACAGGCAAAATGTGTGAATATTGTACAAAAACAAGTGTGCACCAAACATTTTTTTTATATATTCTTACTTTCATTTAATAGTATTGTACAAAAGAGAAAAAATAGACCTGATGGATAGTGCACCCAGGGGTGGTTTATCCAAGGGGTTATTGCGGGGAATAATCTAGAGAGGAGCTAGAGCAAGCAAGTAAGAGAGAGAGAGCCAAGTATATTTTATGAACTTGTTCTGGGATCCTTTACAAGGAGAAAAGGGACTGCTATTAATAGCAGCCATAAATGCTAGGTGAGTACATGTGTCGAGCATCTGACGGCCGAGGGTCACCTCAATCGGGGGTGGCACCGGCATCCGCATGTGCACCGCATTAAATGCGGTGGTTGCCTGTCTCTAAAATGAATCTTCGCTGGGTGTGATGTAGCCGAAGGCTTCTCTGCGAATGGATGTGATGTCGAAGGCTCCTCCGTGGCTGAAGGCTCCTATGTGGCCGACGGCCATCCATGTTCCGAGGGCGCCTAAAAGCCGAAGGCTACCGTTATCCGCCATCTTCTCTCAATAGCTTTGCAGGTTTAAGCCTGGCTGCCATGTGGAATTTGGAGCCCTCGGCCATAGGACCGAAGGCACCCAGATGTGTACTGTGACCTCCTCACACTTGGGCCGCCATATTAGGGCTTTGTGTGCTCATTGGGCTTGATGGGCATGTATAGGAGAAGTAGGAGTCTATGGGCGGGGGGTCCCAGGGCCATATACTCCATCAGGAGTCCCTCACTCCTTTTGCCGAAAGGTACTTGAGGGAAAATGAGTAATTGCGTTGATGAATTGGTTCTGCCGAAGGCTTTCATTTGTGAGAGATTCCTTCCATTGATCACTCGTTGTTGAGGTAGTTGCCGAGGGAATTGCTCAGTCCCCCACATGTCGAGGCTTGAAGGTTTCCTGAGGAGAAGTGTCAATGAGTTGCCCGCTTGTGTTGTGATGAAGGCCGCTTTGTCACCTTTGGTACATTTGTGTAGTTTCCTGACCATTTGCGTTTTCCCGAAGGGTATGTTGATTATGTACACCCACAGGGTTGTGTTTATTGTTTTGCTCGGAGGCTACATGTGTCATTTGTAGATTTTGAATGTGATTTTTTGTTCAGTGCTTCCCTCGAGGGGTATTTCTCAATCCCCCACTCCTTTAGGCCGAAGGCAAGTTCGGGCTGAAGGAGTTATAATGCTTTCATGTATCACCGAGGGCCTGCTACCTGATGAAATGTGATAATATGTGGTAAGCCGAAGGCCTATGTCGTTGGTGTGCGAAGGCACTTGGTAACCGTCGTCCATCAGAAGGCATTTAGTTGGTGACAGCCAAAGGGTATCTCCTGAGGGCACGATGTGTTTTCCAAATATAGCCGTTGGAACATGACCATTGGAGATGGGGTCCACGTGGCACGCGTTCGTTGGCCAGAAGCGGGCGGGGGCCACTCATTGGTTGAAGCGACGATTTGTAATGATGGGCTTTTAAGTTTTAACCCGAGGCCCAATTTTGAGGCTTAACCGCGGTTGGGGGCGTCTATAAATACCCCAAGGCCGCACCCATTTCCTTGTGCGTTTTAGAACTGAAGCGAAGCTCTGCCAAAATTTCTAGAGAAATAAACCATTCCCTTCGATCAAACCCAGCTCTCAAGGTCAGTTCTTCACCTGTTCTTCGCTTCTTTAGTAACTTTTGTTTTGTGGCCTTAGATTTAGTGTTTAGAGCCTCTAGGACTTGTGATCTAGTAATGTTTGGTAAAATATATTTTTATATAATACTACCTCCATCCCATTTAAATATAATATATACATTTCCTTTTTTGGCAATTTTTTTTTACATTAATTGCTCTAACCACCTTTCACCCCACACTCACTTTTTTACATTTACTTGGATAGCATTAATTACCCTCAAAGGTCAAATTGTATGAAAGCTATTTGTTCTTCTATTAATTGGTCTCTTAAAACACTTTGTCAAAACAAATGTCAAGATTTAACTGGGACGAAGAGAATAGAATAATGAAAAACAATTGAACAAGTCGTTCACCTGCTTTCAGCTTTTGACTTTGAGTTCTTAAGTAACACAAAATCAATCACTTGAAATCACTAATTTCAACTTTTTATGGCAAAAGCTGAAATTACTAGGTTCACCTGCTTCTATTCGTTCACCTGCTTTCAGATTTTGACTTTTAAGTTCTTAAGTAACGCAAAATCTATCACTTGAAATCACTCATTTCAGCTCTTTATGGCAAAAGCTAATAACATTTTTACAAATTTATGCAAACCCTCCCCTACTTTGTCTGACAACCATACGTTAACCTTCAAAAAGAAAGAGTTACGTATTTGTGTTGTGTGAGGGTCTAATTGCAAAATTGACTATAAGTTGTGATAGTTTCCTAAGGAATAACCAAGAATCGTATGAGAGGTTAGTGATACTAAACTAGAAGATACAGAAAAAAAAAAAAATTATTTACAAAAAATGAAAAAAAAATGAAACTAAATGTTACGGATAAGAGAAAATTACTTACAAAAAATGAAGAAAAAAATTTGAGATGACATCTGTATCCTTAAACTCATGTAGACCCCTGATTAGTCATTGGTCGTGGCTGAGTGCAGTGGCGGACCGAACATGGGGGCAAATGGGGGCTGCTGTCCCCCCAAAATTTTATTTTTCTTGGTATATTTACCCCGAAATTTTAATATATATGTATTTGTATTTATATTTTTACCCTGCCGCCCCTCCTTGCCGGAATTCCTGCGTCCGCCGCTGGCTGAGTGGTTGTAGCGCCCCATTGACCACAACGCCCAATGACTCATAGACACCCCAAATCCCCAATGGGCTTGGTGCACCGGTGACCCAGCGACCCAGTAGTGAGCCTTGTGTCACATTGCCCCGCCACCAGTCCACCATTAGTGGCCCTTAGCGCCCCATGATCGACCACACTTGGCAGCCCTTATTCATGTCCCAATGATTGTTACACACACTAGGCAATAGCTCTACAACCAGTATCAATGTACTATGTAGTTTACAACCGTATCATTCGTAGACGAGGTCTATAAGGCCATCTATAACGTATCATTATTATTGTTACAATAGTGTGAAAATTAGAGCAATTCGCTTTGTGCATGTTCTTCAATTCGTTCATCGTTCTGGAACAACCTCATTAAGTTTAGGTGAGCTTGTTCTCAAACATTAAACAAACAACCTAACTAGAACATATAGAGTTTTAAACTCGACTTAACTGGAATTGGTTTATTCAAAGCAAATGTTTTTACTTGGATTGAAATTTGATGATCTGATCTGGTCTGTTTAAGTTTGGTCTAGTCTAATCAGATTTGAACTGGTCTAGTAAACGTCTGGTCTCTGTGTATTTATAACTACGGGAATCTAGTCTGGTCTGGTCTAAACTGATCTGTTTAAGTCTGATCTGGTCTAGGACTGAAACCAGTCCAAGTAAAACATCCTAATTCATCAACAAACGATCCCAAATCAAGCTCAAGCTCAACACATTCTAACCCTAGCTGCAATACAAACCATCATATAAGGGTAACGATATATGCAGGGAGAAGGTTAAAACTTGTGCAAAGAAAGCTAAAATCTCCTCCCATACACCCCTCAAGTGAATGAGTGAGGATGGCACTAAACCAACACCCAAAGGATATTCCTATCAAACAACATCATTTTTTTCAGAACCTCTATCCTAGTCCCTCAGTCTCTCCCACCATTCAAATAATATCATTTTTCTGAACCATTCTCCAAGCCCCTCGGCCCCTGCCCACAGTTACATACCACTCTTGCAAGTTTTAGAGAATCACATATTCACAATAACCTATCAAGCGAATACAGAAAAGAACGAGTCGATTCTCTGCATTGGTACAACTCAACTTGGGTATTTAAAAAAAATTGTGTAGATTTCCCGCGACCAGTGGCTAAGTGACTGCCAGTTTACAACCACCATAATAAGACTGTTATTGTGAACATATTCATAACCATCAACCAGTGAAGCTGTTGGGGAGGCCTGCACACTGATGAATCATTACTATCGCTGGAATCTGGCAATGTTGAATCAGTGGCTGATGATGCTGCCGGTGGTGGTGGGGACAGCTTAGGTGCTTCGCACACGGTAGATTGACCGTTTTTCTGTTCACAGTGGATGACATCATTAACGTAAATATCCCAAAGAAAAAGGCCAGAAAACTTCTATAGTGCAGCAAAGTTATAGCAATAATGATACAGTATAGCAACACAAAACTTATATTATGGGGGCCACACGCACGGGCACATACACACACATATATCTGTGTGCTGGTGTTTATCGGTTTATGTGTGTGGGTGCACAGATAACTAAGGGCCAGTTTGGATCCAGCATTTTGGAGGGGAAGGCTTGGCATACATCTTGATAAATATTATTGCATGATGTTTCTAATATTTAATAGCGCAATTGAAATGTTATATAATCACCCATTATGGTATTCCGTTATATTTATAAATTTTCAAATATAAACCAACGTATAGAATCAGATTCCCAACACCCTCAAATTCTCCACCCAAACAGACCTTCAAAAAAATCTAGCACCACAGCACGGACTAGACAGGAACATTTAGAACTATGCTGGCATGAGGATAGTATTTTTTAGCCGCAGTGAATTAGGTTAACAATATATGTGTAACATCATCATAGAATTTTACGAAGCAGGCCAATTTATAAGTCATAGTTGGTATGCTAATTGTTGACAAACCTTGCAATAGGCAATGCTAGTACAGTTACAAGCCAACTGACCGTTTGCTTGATCCACCGCTTCTGCTGCACCACCACCATCACTCTCCTGTAAAAAGTGTATGCACATCACACTATTAGGGAAAGTTTTTTTCTCAAAAGGTGAGGAAACTTATCCCAAATGGTCTATCCATGTGAGATTTATGGGCAAAACCAATCCCAAACAGCCTATCCCACATCATGGGTACCACATAAACTCTAACCGGACAATATTCTCAAGTTGGATCTTAATTCTTAACTCACCCAAAAAGACCTCAAATGTTTAAGTTTACTCCCCACTCATATATTAGATACAGATTGGATACGGGAGTGTGGGACGTTTGATAGTCACACACAACATCATAGTATCATATTTATTGGCTGTTTCTAAACACTTTTTCCTCCTCATCAATCACAATTTTAGCTGCGGCAGCTGAATTGATAAATAATTAAATTTTGATATTATTTTCTTTAATTAAATAGACTTATATCTTAAAACAATTGGGTAATTTAATCACTTCTGCCTAATCTTACCCTCTATCAGACAGGCTTTTATTCAAAAGTATTACCTTGTAAAAATCAACTGCAATGAAATTGGGCCAACGCTGACCAGCTGCTTTGTAACAAGTATCCATCATACTAATTAGTCCAGCAGAATTATTAACACATGAGTATGCTTCAACAGGATTGGTTGGAAAATAATTCTGCAAAACTAATGAGCTTTTTGCATTATTCATAGGAGATGATTCTGCACGGTTTGGACATGAACCAGCCACCATTCCCTCTGTTCCATCTGGCAATGCATCCAACAAATATATTCTTTCAATTTAAAAAGGATCCAATCCATGCAATGGAGCCAAAGCTCACTATTTTTTCTGCCTTGAGAATATGATGGAATAAAGCAAAATGGTTCACTAAATAGTTTGTGCTTCTTTGTTGTGAAGCAACAGTCAGTCCATGCAACTTTCGACGCGATTTTCACTATGGGTCATCCACAAAACAGTCTCTTTGTGCTTTAGTACAGGGGTAAGACTGCGTACATCCGACCCCCCTACCCCACCATAGGTGGGAGCCTTTGCAGTACTGGGGTAATGATGATGATGAATTTAAAAAGGATTAGAAGTATTTAACAAAATAAATTTAAATCAGATGCATGGAACATGCAAATAACTTTGACAAATAATTGAAGAAAGTACAATTATCCAAAATCGCCATGATGTTAGGGTATATTTCGAAGTTGGAAAGTGTACAGAAAGAAGAAGAAGAAGAAGAAGAAGAAGAAGAAGACGAAGACGACGAAGAAGAAGAAGACGACGACGACGACGAAGAAGACGAAGAAGAAGACGACGAAGAAGAAGAAGAGGAGGAGGAGGAGGAGAGGGATGGAGGGAGGGAGGGAGGGAGGGAGGGAGGAGGAGATTATTTTTTTTAGTTTGGTTTTATTTAAGAAAATATGAAGAAATATCAAATTTGATCGAAAACTTCAAAATATTACATATAATATATAGATTTCTTTTTATTTATTTGATAAAATATTTTGTTGATTTTGTATTTAATAAAATATTTGAGCACAAAGTATTTGAACAAATATCCAAAGTTGTTTTAAAGGGTTTGAAGCACGATGGAAAATGCTAAAGAGGAAAACATAAAAGGAATATAAACATATTTTCAAACTCAGCAATTTGATTTTTGATATTTGTTAAAACTCACACTCCGCAAAGAAATATACTCCCTCCGTTCTCTAATAGATGGCTCTATAGCCTTTGGCACAAGATTTAAGAAGAAATTAATAAGGGTAAGATAAAAAGTGTAGTGGGTTGTGTGTAAAGGAAAAAGTAGCAAAGAAAATGAAAAAGTAGGAAAGAGAATGAGGGTATATATGTATATTTATTGAAAAAACTTTCTCAAAAATGGAAAGGGAGACATGTATTGGAGAACATCCCAAAATGGAAAGAGAGACATGTATTAGAGAACGGAGGGAGTAACAACTTATATATATATATATATATATATATATATATATATATAGGGGTGGGTTCAAGTAAAAAGTAGTCTTCCAATGAAAAGTGAGAATAAATCTTGGCCTTTGATCACTTGAAAATGGATGGATTAGATGAACTTTAAACATAAGAGACGGTTTAAAAAAATGTGCAAATGTTTATACTATAAAGTGGATAGCTACTAACCAAAAGTGCACTCACGCGTGTCAAAAAATATTGTCAAAATTTTCAAACTTGTGCACTTTTTATTTGATATCGTATTGCACTTTTGTGTTCTACGTGTGCACTTTTTGACTATTCTGATACACATTTGTCACAATATTTTCAAAAAAAGTTATCCATAATTACACAAATGCCACCGCGTTTCCCACTTAAAAATTGATCTCTTCCATCCATTTTTTCACATCAACGGCCAAGATTAGTTCTTATTTTTCACCTATGAAGTACTTTTTATTTGAACCAAATTCTATATATATATATATATATATATATATATATAAAATAAGTAAAACAGTAATGATATTTCCTTTGCATTTTCTACAGCAAAACCAAACAAGCAAACACAATAAGACAACTTCCCTTATCATTCCTGCCCTCTTCCTCGCATTTTGAGGGATCCAAGCAGGCCCAAATATACATTAAGAAGGAATTTCATGATTTTGATGATGGATAGATGGGGGGAACTCACATTGGTTTTCCACTACATATGTCCACTCGTAAGCAATCCCATCAGTAGCCTCCTTATTTCTTTTAGAGGTAAAGACAACCAGCCGTTGATTCTTATTCACCATATCATCAACTGTAGGCCAATCCCCCCCATTTTTGGGCATTTGAGACACTGGAAACCAGTACTTGCTAAGGCCAGATTCATTAAAAACCTTTTTCAAGCCTTGTGGGGAAGTCACATAGTCCTCAATGAAAATAGTGATAATCTCAGAGGGGTTTTCACCAAGAAAGGTATTAATTTCTTTCAGCACACCAATGGCAGGTTCCTGGAATTAATCAAGGGTTTATATTTTTAAGAAAGGAAAAAAATCAGGAAGAAAGAAACACTGGTAAGTGAAAAATAATAGTAATAAGACCATAAAGAGATGACTTACAAAAGATGTAACATTGTAGCAATTCCCACCATATGAGTGGCACAACCAGATGGTACCGTTAAAGTCATACATATCAAGCATAAGTCCTCTAACCCCATTCTACAAATCGAATAAAATTTGGACCAACTTTAGTTTAGATGTGCTTTGTTAGATCCTGAAAACCCCTCAGACAGAAAAGTTTTCATAACATTTAGACTCTGATTGATAGCACAAAAACAAAACAAAAAATCATGTAGTGATACACCTTTTCCATGAAAAAATATTTCCCTTGAACGTATAAGTTGTTATATTTGTAATATATAATGTTTGATCCACACAAGAAGAAAAAACATAAAGTGCTTTTTCGTGCCAAATGGATGAAAACCATTCCAACAAAATATTCTTGTGTCCAATACACGAAAATCAAGAAAATGCTTTCCAATGAATATTATCCTTGAAACAAACCGAGCCTTAACATTATTAATTTAATTGCATTTCGCTCAGCAAGTAGACAATTGGAATTAATACAAAAAAATCACACGGTCATAAGCGAACTTTACCACATACAATGTCTTCAACCAATTGCATTACTGAAGCTAAAGGTTACAAATACGCTGATGCCAATCAATTGCATGATTGAAGCAAATGAGAAACCAAAAAGTGTGTTATTAAAAGTCAGCTTGCAAAATGTAAAGCCATAGGTGATTGAAGTAAAATGTCTTCATCCACATGATGGACCAGACCGAACTTTTTTTAGTCAAAGGCACAACTCAACTAATCTACCACTACCCTTAAATTCCACAAAAACAGTAAAAATTTGCACAAGAAGAATTGTTAAACTAGGATGCGGATTAAGGTAAAAGTTTTACATAAATAATAGTGACTGCCTCATTGTGCCAATGGAACAGTAACTTCATCAGAAGAGGAAAGACAACAATTGTACACATTAAATAAAAATGATATTTTCTCAAAAGTAATCAGTTCACCGCATGGTTTATATTTTATATAAACAATAGAATTATAAAATTTAAGTTTAAATGATTTCTTTAGAAGTTCAAATAAGGTATTTTCATCTTCAGACAACTCACCAATTGACACGCGCAAGGGAGACCAGCCGAAAGCTTTACACTTTACTTCGAGAAATCAAGTTTAAATGATTTCTTTAGGAGTAAAAGGCAAGGTGTTTCCCCTAAATAGGAGGAGTATGTTTTTTCACTAAATAGAAATAAAGTACTACCATAGTACCATCTAGAAATCATACTGTCATATTATGGCATTGCCTGCCATTAAAAAGAGGGCAGCATGATCTCTGTATGGGAAAATGAATTCAGGAAAAACATAGTACTTCTATTAGGAAAAACATCTCAATTTTACTCCTTTTAGGGGGGAGGGGGGGGGGGGGCACGTAGTACTCCTATTTAGGGAAAACATCTCATTTTTAATCTCATTTAGAGCGGCATGGTAAAACTCCCAACCACTTATCTGGCCAAGGTGACCATAAGAAAGAGCTAATGTTACATTGTTTTCACTTATCCCACATGTAAAGGCAAATCTCACAGTTATGTTCTTTTGAAGGGCATCCACTTTATCCTAAATTACATTGTTCTATTAAAGCGTAACGTAACAGGATAAGTAACTCAAAATCTTATCTGTTCAATGTGGGATGAGTTAACATATATCAGGACTTGTTATGAGTTGTATTAATGGGAATACATTATCTTGGAATTTTCCCTCTTGGTGATCAATAATTTACCAACAATCCAAATTCTTAACATAGGGGGGGCAACGTCAATTGTAAGATAAACAAGAATTGATGGCAACTCTATTATATATGGTCAAAAAAAGGAAAATATGCAGAGGAGTTTAAGAAAGTTCTTGACTTTATATACTCTATTCTAGTAAAAGATGGACCTTGAGCTGATCAGTGATGCTGTCATTTTGATTCTTTGGAGATATAATATCAGATCCGGTGGCTGATTTGGCCCCTGACCGAGCAAATGAATTGTGAGTCGTCAGCCATGAATACTTGTTGAATGGCAACCCTTTCACCTTTTCAAACCACAGTATTAAAAAGATTATATATATTTGCATAACCAGAGTTATAAAGCTCTGTACTACTTCTTTCCTACCTTTTTAGGATGGAGCCCTAGTATTACTTCCCATAAAAAAAACAAAACTATATTCCATAAAAAGAGAATTAATAGTCAAATTTGAAAGGGGAAAAAAGGGAACCTTAGACGTGGGAATGGTGGGTTTGGTGCGAACGCATCTGGGACGGGTATTTCCATTTGCAAGGCAGGTGGAACAGAACAAGCCATCATCGCATGTGCGTGTAGCAGAACATGTTTCTCCAACCTAGTACAACAAAATATGGCTATGATTGTATGTTTTTGGAAACAAACTATAATCTCTCCGAAACTGTTGATGCAGGAACCGCAGAAATTAAAAGATATGAAATGAAAGTCAAGGAGAAGACCTTGAGAGACGATGATGTTCTGACTAAAGAAGCGGCGATGATGATGAGAAGCTTTACCAGAACAACAATGGCGCCCTGCACCTGCAGCAACAAATTATGTTGGAAGCTGAGAAATAGATTAAAAGAAGAGATATTGAACAAGAGCTAAGATTAAAGACAAATTACATGCCTGCATAACTAATTATTCTCTCTGACGCCCTCTACCTGCAATTAAGGAAGAGAGGAAAGGATTTTCTTGTGGAACTTATAACCAGGGACGGTGATTTGATCTTGGGTCATGATACTCCGTATAATTCTATGTAGTACCGAGTACTTTTCAGTTTTCACCCAACGGATTTCAGTTGAATAGTGTGTCCCATTTTTTTAGTCAAAAGTTTAACATTCTTGGTTGAAAAAAGAGACCTTTCCATACCTATTTCAAGAAATTGTACTTCTAAGAAATATATGGACGTTTTTATACTGATAATGAAGTAATGAACCAACAAAACAGTATCAAATGAAGAATAAATTTCCCATTACACAATCAACCATGATTCGTCAAAACAGTATTTTTACACACGCTTCAAATTGTTTGCGCACAAATAAAGTTTTTTCACTTTCGGAAGAGAATCGTTTTTTGCACCAACAATTCCATTTGTCTGTCATACAGAAATGTTTTTGTCTATGCGAAAAACGATGTTCTTCACTAAACAAAAAAAAATTGTCTACGTACAGAATATAGGGAAAAGGGTCAGATATGCCATCAAACTTACATAAAAAAGTCAAATAAACCCTTATATAGGAGATTCTGTCCGGCCGTCGCCATTTGAGGTGGTTCCCGGTGGAATTTTTTGATAAAAATTTTTGAGCATCTTATTCATTAAGTCTAGTTTACTCATACCAAATTTCAGCTAAAATTTCAATCGGGAAGACATTCAAATGAATTCTTGAAGATAATTGTGCTTTTAATGTCTTCCCGATTGAAGTTTTAGCTGAAATTTGGTATGAGTAAACTAGAGTTACTAGACTTAATGAATAAGATGCTCAAAAAAATTCATCAAAAAATTCCACCGAGAACCCCCCAAATGGCGACGGGCCGAACAGATCCTCTTATATAAGAGCTTATTTGACCTTTTTATGTAAATTTGAGGGCCAATTTGACTCTTTTGCCCACAATATATGTCCCACGTGTATAAATATGTTCTAAGAATATGAGTGATTCTGATTTTTTCAACTTCTAGAAATTATAGTTCTTAGTAATCTCGCATTCTCGTGTTAATGGTGGTGGTTTGCTGTTAGACCCCTAAGTTCTGAGGGTCTTTGGCGGGTCAAGTTAACCTTGGCTTGACTGCGGCATTGGGTGTGGCATCAAGGTTGTCCCTTAGTTCGTGAGCATCGGGTGTTGATTGACCGCGGCATGCAAGGCAGGGCCTTAGGCAAGCGTGGGGCAAGGCAACGGAGATGGCTTTGAGGAGCTAAGGCAAGTGACAGTTAGCTCGTGGGTGGCTTGGTTTAGGCCGCGGCATGGAAGCTAGCATGAGTGGTCGCGACGTTTCGGGTTTACGTGCGGCATGACTCAAGGCTGAAGGCGGTTGACGGTTATGGGGCGAACAGACGCGACGGTTCGGGTTTACGCCGCGGCACGAAGCGAACGGATGCACCAAGGAGCGAACCGGTGGCATTGGCTGTGCGGCTTCAACTGTTGCCCAACGAAGAGACGCGTCCTTTAGCTATGGCAGTTGGCTTGTAACTGCCAGACCTGGCCGGTCTATAAATTGCGCCGCGGCATGACCACGAGTTTTGTAGGCAAGAGTGCGTGGCATTGCTTGTATTGTCCTTTGTATTATTTTGTGAGATTAATACAAGGTTGGTCGTTGACCGTAAAGTGTTGTGTGTGCCTTGAGTATATTCCAAGTGTTTAAGTGTCCCTAAACCTAAGAAAAACGGGTTTGTGAGTTAGGCTGACTATCTTAAGGGCTAAGATAGGCCGTACACGAGTGAAAATTCTAAGTCCAGAATTTCCCTGTGTAACAATTGGTATCAAAGCTGATGGCTGACGACAGCGCTTCGTTTATGGGCGACCAGGAGAGTCCGGACACCGCAAGGATCTTTATTCAAAGCCTGATCGAGGATGCACTTAAGCCCGTGTTGCAGCGGCTTGAGATGGTGGAAGCCTCGAGGATGGAGTTTGAAAGTGAGAATGAGATTCTCAAAACCGAGATTATGATTTTGAAGAAAGCCATGGCAACGGGCTCGCGCCCGGGTGTGGATGGCAGTTCTTCAAAAGTCAGGGTTCCGGAGCCGAAGTGTTTCGCTGGTGCCCGAAACGCAAAGGAATTGGAGAATTTCCTTTGGGACATGGAGGAATATTTCAAGGCAGCCAAGATTCCGGAAGAGGAGAAAGTTGTGATTGCTCCTATGTACCTGTCCGAGGATGCTAAGCTTTGGTGGCGAGGCAGATCAGCGGACGATGTGGCTTCTGGAAGGCAAGGCATTGAGTCATGGGAAGGGCTCAAGCGGGAATTAAAGGCACAATTCCTTCCACATAACGTTTCCTGGATGGCGCGGGAATCGTTGAAGAAACTGAAACATAGCGGTTCAATCCGTGAGTACGTGAAGGAGTTCTCCTCACTCATGTTAGACATTCAGAACATGAGCGACGAGGATAAACTCTTCAACTTTATGAGTGGCTTACAACCATGGGCGCAGGCCGAGTTGCGGAGACTGGCTGTGAAAGACTTACCCACGGCTATGGCTGAGGCGGAGAGTTTGGTTGACTTCAAAGCAACGGCCCCTCAAGGCAAAAAGGGGGACCACGGCAAGAAGGACCAGGCTGGCAAGTCAAAGCATGGTGGGAAGGACAAGTCTAAGAAGAAGGACTCGAAGTCTTCTTCTGAAGGAGGAAAGGAGGACAAGTCCCAGTCCGGGTGTTGGACGTGTGGCGGGGATCATTTCCAGCGTGACTGTCCCAAAGCCTCCAAGATAAATGCCATGGTTGAAGGGGAATCGAAGGACCAAGGGGCTGGTCCGTCCCATTGTAGCCCACTTCAGTTGCTTACCGCTATGAATGAGAGACCCCAGCAGGTGGTTAACCGGGGGTTGATGTACGTGAATGTACAGATCAACGGTGTCGAGATCTTGGCGATGGTCGACACTGGTGCAAGTCATAACTTTGTTGCGGAAAGGTTGATTCCCAAGTTGCGACTTGAACTTGAGGAGAATAGTTCCAAGATGAAGACGGTGAATGCCGCGGCCAGAGATGTGACTGGTCGGGAAGATGTCTCACTCAAAGTTGGAGACTGGTTGGGAGTTTGTAGCCTAACAGTTCTGCCCCTGGATGACTTTGACCTGATCTTGGGGAATGAGTTTCTCCTTGCTGCGAGGGTGGCAGTGTTTCCCTATTTAGGAGGGATGATGATCAACGACGAAGAGAAGCCTGGCTTTGTGAGAGGCAGGTACGCAGATCAAGGTAAGGCAAAAGGGATTGCCGCATGCTCGGCTATGCAGATCAAGAAAGGCATGAAGCGTGGGTACGAGACGTATCTGGCTGTCATGATTGAGACCAAGGAAGGGATTTACCAAGATGTTCCGGAAAGAGTTGTTGATTTGTTGGAAGAGTTCAAAGATGTGATGCCACCGGAGTTGCCCAAAAAGTTGCCTCCTAGACGTGCTGTGGATCACAAGATTGAATTGGTTCCAGGAGTGAGGCCTCCTGCCCAGGCCCCTTATCGAATGTCCCCATCGGAGTTGGAAGAGTTGCGGTCCCAGTTGAACGAGTTGCTGGAGAGCGGCCTGTTGCAGCCTTCCAAGGCACCCTATGGCGCTCCAGTTCTGTTCCAGCGGAAGCATGATGGTTCCCTTCGGATGTGTGCTGATTACCGAGCCTTGAACAAGGTTACTGTCAAGAACAAGTATCCTATTCCGAACGCACAGGACTTGTTTGACAAGCTGTCTAAGGCGAGGGTTTTCACAAAGCTGGATTTGAGGGCGGGCTATTGGCAAGTCAGAATCAGTCCTGGAGATGAGGGTAAAACAACCATAGTCACTAGATATGGCTCCTATGAATTCCTTGTAATGCCGTTTGGGCTAACCAATGCCCCGGCTACTTTCTGCAACTTAATGAATGATGTTCTTTACGAGTATCTTGATTTGTTTGTCGTTGTGTATTTGGATGACATTGTGGTGTATTCGAACTCTGTTGAAGACCACATTGTGCATCGTAGAAAGGTCTTAACGCAACTGCGTAAGAACGAGTTGTATGTTAAGAAGGAAAAATGCGAGTTTTGCATGGGCCAGATTTCGTTCCTTGGGCACGTGATTAGCCAAGGAGAAATCAAAATGGATTCAAAGAAAGTTGAAGCCATTGTTGATTGGCCAGTCCCTAGGGATGTGGGACAGTTGAGATCGTTCCTTGGGTTAGCCAACTATTATCGGCGGTTCATTAGCGGCTATTCCAAACGGGCAAACCCTTTGACGGATTTGACGAGGAAGAAGCAGAGTTGGAACTGGACAGAGGCATGTCAGTGTGCCTTTGAAGATTTGAAGAAGGCCGTGGCTAGTGAGCCAGTCCTGAAGTTGCCAGACTTTGCTGCCCCGTTCGAAGTCCATACCGATGCCTCAGACCGAGCTTTAGGCGGAGTGCTTGTGCAGGATGAGCACCCTGTGGCCTTTGAAAGTCGGAAGCTGAAGGATGCGGAGACGAGGTACAGCGCCCATGAAAAGGAAATGACGGCCGTTGTCCATTGCTTGGAAGTATGGAGGCACTACTTGCTTGGTACGAAGTTTAAGGTGGTGACCGACAACGTGGCGAACACGTACTTCAAGTCCCAGAAGAAGCTGTCCCCAAAGCAGGCTCGATGGATGGAGTTCCTGGACGAGTTTGACTTTGACTGGGTTCATCGGCCAGGCCGGCACAATGCCGTGGCAGATGCACTTAGTCGGAAGGTTGTTGATGAGTATGTCAACGCTTTGGTGATGGTGCAGGGGAATATGGTGGAACGGATAAAGGAAATGGCTAAGGAAGACCCAAGCTATCAACGTTTGTGTGAACAGGTGGCAAGCGGTGCCGTGAGGAGGTACTGGCTGGAAGATGGTGTCCTCTTCGGCAAAGGAGGACGACTGTATGTCCCTGTTGGTGGACTTCGCGTGGAGCTCCTGAAGGAGACTCATGACCCGCAGTGGGCAGGTCATCCCGGTGTGGCACGGATGTTTGCACTGCTGTCCAGAGATTACGTATGGCCAAAGATGGAGCAGGACATCGAGGCATACGTGAGGACGTGTCTTGTGTGCCAGCAAGACAAAACGGAGAAAAGGAAGGAAGCGGGTTTGCTTCAACCTTTGCCAATCCCGAGTAGGCCTTGGCAATCTGTTTCTATGGATTTTATTTCAGGTTTTCCTAAAGTTGGTGGCATGTCAACCATTTTGGTGATCG